TGAAAAGATATTGACTCAAGTTGATGATAGAAGGGGTCCCTCGGTGGCCTGTGGCTGGTGAGGGTCAGGTTGTATGGGGGGTGGAAAGACTGAGGTAGGGAGGGGGGTTCATTGTGGTGAGGTGTGAGGAATGATTGATGAGAAGAAGAAAAAGAGGAGGAGGAAAAAAGAGGAGGGGCGAAAAAGAGGAGAATGCGGACAAAAGAGGAGGAGGAAAAAAGAGGAAGAAGGGGAAAAAGGAAGAGTAGGAAGAAAATAATAATGACGCCAGTGAGGTAACGTAAGAGTGAAGGTTGATGAAAGGAAGAGCAGGAAGGAAAAGAGGAGGTGCAGGAAGAAGAGGAGGAGGTAGGAGGTTAAAGAGGAAGAAGAAGATGAGGTGCAGGAGGAAGAGGAAGAGAATATAAGCGTTTGGGATAATGATGAGAAATGCATCGTAACATTGACCACTCCTGGGGAAATGTAGAAGAGAGAAGGAAGGTTGATGAATGGTGTAGATAGAGAGACGTGGAGAGAACTAGTACAAGTAGTGCACCCTGACTTAACCTCTTGTGTACCCTGACTTAACCCCTTGTGTACGACACACACACACACACACTATTCATTTAGGGTCGCCATTGTTGTGTTGACTGAGTGAGGGATGTGAGAAGGGAGGAGTGATACCCAGTAAACACCATCACTACCACCATTACCACCATTACCGCCACTACCACCACTACCACCATTACCACCATTACCGCCACTACCACCATTACCACCACTACCACCATTACCACCATTACCGCCACTACCACCACTACCACCACTACCTCCACCACTACCGCCACTACCACCATTACCACCACTACCACCATTACCGCCACTACCACCATATCGAGACAACTACCATATCACCACTCCCACCACTACCGCCACTACCACCATTATCGAGACAACTACCACATCACCACTACCACCATTACCACCACTACCACCACTACCACCATTACCACCATTACCACCACTACCATTACCACCACTACCGCCACTACCACCACTACCACCACTACCACCATTACCACCATTACCGCCACTACCACCACTACCACCATTACCACCATTACCACCTACCACCATTACCGCCCACTACCACCATTACCACCACTACCGCCACTACCACCATTACCACCACTACCAACTATTACCTCCACTGCTACCGCCACTACCACCATTACCACCACTACCACCATTACCGCCACTACCACCATTATCGAGACAACTACCATATCACCATCTCACCATTACCACCACTACCGCCACTACCACCATTATCGAGACAACTACCATATCACCACTCCCACCATTACCACCACTACCGCCACTACCACCATTATCGAGACAACTACCATATCACCACTACCACTATTACCACTACCACCATTACCACTATTACCACTCCCACTATTACCGCCACTACCACCATTATCATCAATACCATTATTATTACCACTACTACTACCACTGTTATTACCATTAGCACGACTACCACTATTACCACCACTACACTACCGCCATTACCACTACTACCACTATTACCACCACTGCCAGAGTGGAGGGAGGAGGGTGAGAGTGAAGGAAGAAAAGAAGGAGGATGGGAGTAAAGGAAGGAAGGAGGGAAGGTGTGAAGAAAGGAGGGAGGGAGGCAGTAAAGGAGAGAGGGAGGGATGGAATGATGGAGGAGGGAGGGAGGGAGGGTGTGAAGGATAGGTGAGGGAGGGAGGGAGAAATGTGGGAAGAAGTCAGGGGTGGGAGGGGAGGGAGAGGAGAGGAAGGAGGGGAGGGGAGGGAGGGAGAGAGAGGAGGGAGGAGGGAGGGAGGCAGGGAGGGAAGAGATGAGGGAAGGAGGGAGGGAGAAACGGAATGATGGAGGAGGGAGAGAGGGTGTGAAGGATGGGTGAGGGAGGGAGGGAGATGAGAGAGGAGGGGGGGAGAGACTTACCGATATAGTAACAAGGAAGGGGACGCACATTGTCTATCTGTCAATTAGAATATCTTTCCCATAAAACCTATCCTCTCCTCGTCCCGTCCGCCTCTCATTCTATTCATCCGTCCCCCTCTCCGTCCACCGTGTTCTTCTATTCGTTTAGCCAGGTCTGTCCGTCCAGCCTTGTTTGTCCGTCCAGCCTCGTCTGTCCGTCCAGCCTCGTCTGTCCGTCCAGCCCCGTCTTTCCGCCCGCTCTCAGTACGTCCGTCCTTCTATCCACCCGTCCCAAACTCATCAGTCCGTCACTTTATCAACAAATGATTTAATTTCACAATATTTTTTTTTTTTTTTTTTTTAGAAATAATACGATATTGATAGATATAAAATTTGGCCACAAACTGATTAAATTTCGAGAGAGAGAGAGAGAGAGAGAGAGAGAGAGAGAGAGAGAGAGAGAGAGAGATCTCTACACGTCCACCTGCATCACCTCCCTCGCTTCGACTCCCTTTCTCTCACTCTCCCTTCACCACAACACACCCATAACAACAATCACAACACATACATAACAACAACCAGAAAACAAATACGACAACAACCACAACTCACACATGACAACAACCACAACACAACCAAGACAACAACCAAGACAACAACCACAACACAACCAAGACAACAACCACAACACAACCAAGACAACAACCAAGACAACAACCACAACACAACCAAGACAACAACCACAACACAACCAAGACAACAACCAAGACAACAACCACAACACAACCAAGACAACAACCACAACACAACCAAGACAACAACCAAGACAACAACCACAACACAACCAAGACAACAACCACAACACAACCAAGACAACAACCACAACACAACCAAGACAACAACCACAACACAACCAAGACAACAACCACAACACAACCAACACAACCACAACACAACCAAGACAACACAATGATAACACCAGCAGGTAGCGTTGAGACTCAGTGATAGTAACTTTAAGAAACAGTTAATATTTGTTGTTAATAAGAAAAGTTAAGACAGTTTTTACCTTAAGTTTATTGTTCTTATTGACCCATTCCTGCTACATCTTCTTCTTCTTCTTCTTCTTCTTCTTCTTCTTCTTCTTCTTCAAATGTCGTCGATAAATTAAATTTAAACTCGACATAATTTATCAGTAAAATGATAAATGGACGAGATGGTGAGTGACTGTGTGGAGGGAGGGAGGGGGAGTTGTAGGAGGGAGGGAGGGGGAGTTGGGAGGAGGGAGGGAGGGGTGGGTTGTAGGAAGGAGGGAGGGGGGTAGGGAGGGGGTTGTAGGAGGGAGAGGGGTGGGTTGTTGGAGGGAGAGGGGTGGGTTGCAGGAGTGAGGAGGGGTAGGGAGGGGTTGTAGGAGGGGTAGGGAGGGTTGTGGTGGAGGGAGAGTGGGGGCAGGAGGGGAGGGGTGGGGTTGGGGGAGGGAGAGTGGGTGGGTTGTAGGAGGGGGTAGGGAGGGGTTGTAGGAGGGAGGTAGGGGAGGGTTGGAAGCAGGTAGGGAGGGGGTTGTAGGAGGGAGAGTGGGGTGGGTTGTGGGGAGGGAGGGAGGTGGGTTGTAGGAGGGGGGGTAGGGAGGGGTTGTAGGAGGGAGAGGGGGTGGGTTGTAGGAGGGAGAGGGGGTGGGTTGTAGGAGGGAGGGAGGGAGGAGGTGGGCTGTGAGGGGGTAGGGAGGGGTTGTAGGAGGGAGAGGTGGGTTGTAGGAGGGAGGGAGGGGGGTTGCTGGAGGGAGAGGTGGGTTGTGGGGCAGGGGAGGGAGGGGGTTGTAGGAGGGGGGTAGGGAGGGGTTGTAGGAGGGAGAGTGGGGTGGGTTGTAGGAGGGAGGGGGGAGTAGTCCTGGTGTGTTATGGTGATGAGACTTATTCTTGTAGGTAATTATATTAAGTGTTATGTTGTTGTGGTTGATGTATAAGTAAATGATTTGTTCTTGAAGGTGAATTATATAAGTCAATTTACATTATTAAAAACGAGACAGAGTGTTACAGGCGCTGCTGAGTACCAAGATAATGTGTTGTGTTACAGGCGCTGCTGAGTACTAAGATAATGTGTTGTGTTACAGGCGCTGCTGAGTACCAAGATAATGTGTTGTGTTACAGGCGCTGCTGAGTACTAAGATAATGTGTTGTGTTACAGGCGCTGCTGAGTACCAAGATAATGTGTTGTGTTACAGACACTGCTGAGTACTAAGATAATGTGTTGTGTTACAGACACTACTGAGTACTAAGATAATGTGTTGTGTTACAGACACTGCTGAGTACTAAGATAATGTGTTGTGTTACAGGCGCTGCTGAGTACTAAGATAATGTGTTGTGTTACAGACACTGCTGAGTACTAAGATAATGTGTTGTGTTACAGGCGCTGCTGAGTACTAAGATAATGTTACAGACACTACTGAGTACTAAGATAATGTGTTGTGTTACAGACACTGCTGAGTACTAAGATAATGTGTTGTGTTACAGGCGCTGCTGAGTACTAAGATAATGTGTTGTGTTACAGACACTGCTGAGTACTAAGATAATGTGTTGTGTTACAGGCGCTGCTGAGTACTAAGATAATGTGTTGTGTTACAGGCGCTGCTGAGTACTAAGATAATGTGTTGTGTTACAGGCGCTGCTGAGTACTAAGATAATGTGTTGTGTTACAGGCGCTGCTGAGTACCAAGATAATGTGTTGTGTTACAGACACTGCTGAGAACTAAGATACAGACACTGCTGAGTACTAAGATAATGTGTTGTGTTACAGGCGCTGCTGAGTACTAAGATAATGTTGTGTTACAGACACTGTTACTAAGATAATGTGTTGTGTTACAGGCGCTGCTGAGTACTAAGATAATGTGTTGTGTTACAGGCGCTGCTGAGTACTAAGATAATGTGTTGTGTTACAAGTACTAAGATAATGTGTTGTGTTACAGAAGTACCAAGATAATGTGTTGTGTTACAGACACTGCTGAGTACCAAGATAATGTGTTGTGTTACAGGCGCTGCTGAGTACTAAGATAATGTGTTGTGTTACAGACACTACTGAGTGAGTTCAACAAGGAGCAGGAGGCGTTCATTAAGGCGAAGGGAGGTAAGGGAGGCGAAACTCTGGCGCCCTGGGTCGGCTACCCTGACGAAGACAGCCTCAAGGAGGAGATCCTCGCTCTCTCTACTGTGAGTATCCTGCAGTGTGAGGGCGGGGGGGGGGAGGGGGTGATTGTTATGCACGACCATTACACCCCACTGCCACGCCCCCACGACCATACCCTCACTACCACACCCTTACTACCACACCCACTACCACAATCTTTCTTCCCAAAACCACACTCCCCCACCACTGCCACATTCATTCCCACCACCACTCAACCACTACATCCGCACTCCCACTCCCATCTTCCACTCACCCTCAACTTCCACAGTCCCTCCACACACCCACAACCCCCCACACTCCCACATTTCTTCCACAGTCCCCCACACTCCCACAGTCCCCCACTTCCTCAGTCCCCCACACTCCCACGGTGCCCGCCACACTTTAGCAGTCCCCCACTTCCACAGTCCCCCACACTCAGTCCCCCCACACCTCCACACCACACTTCCTCAGTCCCCGCCACACTTCCCAGTCCCCCACACTTCCACAGTCCCCACACTTCCTCAGTCCCCACACGGTGCCCGCCACACTTTAGCAGTCCCCCACTTTCAGTCCCCACACTTCCTCAGTCCCCACACCTCCACAGTCCCCGTCCCCACTTCCTCAGTCCCCAGTCCCCACTTCCACAGTCCCCACACTTCCCCCACAGTCCCCACCTCCTCAGTCCCCCACACACCTTCCCCACACTTCCTCAGTCCCCCACACTAGTCCCCGCCACACTTCCACAGTCCCCACACTTCCACAGTCCCCCACACTCCCCACTTCCACAGTCCCCCACTTCCACAGTCCCCCACACTTTCTCAGTCCCCCACACGTCCACAGTCCCACCACACCCACAGTCCCCCACAAACCCACAGTCCCCATACTCCCACAGTTCCTCCACATTCCCACAGTTACCCCCACACCCCCACAGTTCCTCCATATTCCCACAGTTCCTCCACATTCCCACAGTTACCCTCACACCTCCACAGTCCCCCACACTATCACAGTTCCTCCACACTCCCCAGTTACCCCTACAGTCCCACAGTTTCCCCCACACTCCCACACACCCCCACACTCCCACAGTTACCCCCACAGTCCCACAGTTACCCCCCACACTCCCACAGTTACCCCCTGCTACACGTTGTGAGGTCAACAGCACCACAGAATGATGGTTGAAGCTTAACAATACATAATTATGTTGTAGGACTCTCTCTCTCTCTCTCTCTCTCTCTCTCTCTCTCTCTCTCTCTCTCTCTCTCTCTCTCTCTCTCTCTCTCTCTCTCTCTCTCTCGGAGCCCAGCAGTCATAATGAGTGTTTGTCTGTCATGGTTAAAGAGGGGTCAACACTGGCTTAACCTCGCTTAACCCATTAAAACTGGGGCCCATAGGGAGAATAATACTGAAGACTATGTGGAATAAATTGGAATGAAAGAAGGATGGAAGGTAGAAGATCGTGGCGGAGGTGGACTCAAGAAGCTGAACTCTGACCTTTGTGGATGGCAGATTGAAGGAGGAGGAGGATGAGGAGGAAGTGGGGCGGGGAAGAGGAGGGAGATGAGAAATCTGGATTAAGAAGCGTGTTAGTAGAAAGGGGGCAGTACTTGGTGGGCGGAACATGTGCCACGGATAGAGGAGAACAGGGGAGTTTGGGAGAAGAGCTTGGAAGACGGAGGAGAAGGAGGGGGAAGAGGAAGAACATTGTGGATAGATATAATAAAAAATAAACCTGGACAGAGTAGAAGATGGATAAGGGTAAAGGAGCAGACCAGGTGGAGGAGGATTGTGGAGGTGAGTGTGTGGTACAGACAAAGCCACAAGGAAAAAAGAACGGGGCCTTCAATTATAACAGTTATGATTAGTTTTCAGTAAGAGTTGGTGTATTGAGATCAGGGTGCCTTGCGAGTTGTCATTCCGTGGCACAGGGAGATGGTAGTGCCTTGCCGCATCTTATGAGTTGTCCAGTCTCTCTGTAACGGAGGGAGGAATGAAGGAAGGAGGGAAGGAGGCTTAACAGAGTGGCAAGGGGGGAGACAAGGAGGAAGACACGGAAAGTGGCAGGGAAGAAGAGAGACAGGGAGGGAGGCAGGGAGAGACAGTATCAGGCTAACTGGTACAGCAGAGAAGGACAGGGGAGGGTGCTTGATGACCTTTCCGTCCGGCCGGCAGAGTGAAGCCCCGGCCACCGCCCACACACTGCCGCCCACGCTGGCTTTTGCTCGCCGCACCACCACCAGCATTTCTATCACTACCATATCTTCTATCACTACCAGCACTACTATTACTACTATTTCTTCTACCATAACAAAAAACAACCATAACTACTACCATCAACACCACCATCGCCACCACCATAAGTACCACTGTGGCTACTACCACCACCACCACCACCATTACCACCACCACCACTACTATCACCACCTTCACTACCACCACAAGTACCACCACCACAAATTACACCACCACCATTGTTACCACAACCACTACTACTACACCATCACTACCACCACCAACACTACTATTACTTCTACTACTTCTACCACAACCACCACCATCACCACATTTACCACCCTAACCACCACCACAATTACCACCCTCACCACCACCACCACAATTACCACCCTCACCACCACCACCACAATTACCACCACCACCACCACCACCATTACCACCACCGCCGTCACCATCACCACCACTATCACAAGCACTACCTTTACCACCACAATCACCTCAAGTACCACCACCACCACCACCACCACTGCCACTACTACTACTACCATCACCACTGCCGCCGCCACCACCACCTCCACTACCACTCCTTCCACCACCACTGTTGTGACTGTTTTCTGTTTCCTGTTTCCTCTTACCTGTGGAATCGCTTATTAGAGGTGAACTGGAAGCAACATTCATAAATGTTTATGGGTTAAGTTTTCAAACCCAAATGGCCTTTTCTCAATTTATTAAGAAAATAAACTATTGCACAATAACTGGGATATCACCGTAATTAACGCTATGAGCTGTGAGTTTTAATAATGGACGAAGCTTGGGTATAACTAGCTTCTTCGGATGCGTCTTCAACTTAAGCATTTTAGCCCAAACGAACCAAACGAGCAGCCATTGCACGAACGAACCGAGCTAGCAGTTCGAGTATTCTGTGTGTTCGACGGTGATGGTCTTATTCCCATCGTTTTCCCCAGTTGAACCATGGATCTCATAGTGGCAGCAGGTGCATTCTTCATTATTTACTCCTTAGCCAAAAGGAAGAAGAAATCTAGGAGAGTGCGGTTATGGCGAGTATTTTATGGACGGAAAAATATGTCCGACAAGTTCAAGGGTTCGTGGCAACACCCACGATCCAAACACTGGCATCTCATTGACTACATCATTGTAGCCCCCTCCGCTCATCTGACGGTAACTCCCTAATTAAAGATGATGAAGGCCTCCTTCAGCACTAGAAAGAGCACTACCATTCACTGCTCAACCGAAACACTGATGTGGATGTCCTGACTACCCAGCAGCTCCCTCAGCATCCAAAACTGACCCACCTCAGCTATCCTCCATCCCTGGATGAAGTAGCTATTGCCATCAAACAGATAAAAAATAACAAAGCCTCAGGGGCTGATGGAATCCCAGCCAAGGTGTATAAAGCAGGAGGACCTCTGTTTACCAGCCATCTCCACTCTCTCCTGGAGAATATATGGGAAAAAGAGGAAATACCCAAAGCTCTTAAAGGCAAGTGCAATCCCAACGGCCAATCGCTCAGCAAGTGTGCCGAGCACAACCTCACTATTACCCACACCTTGGTTAGGCAGGTCGACAAGTTCCAGGGTTCGTGGCAACACCCACGATCCAAACACTGGCATCTCATTGACTGCATCATTGTCAGAAAAAAAAGCGATCGCAGATATGTGCTCATCACCAGAGTCGTGCATGGCTCAGACCAATGTGACACAGATCATTGGCTCGTCAGAGCCAAACTCTCACTTCACGTCGCCCCAAAACGGCGAAGGCAGCAAACATCGAGAAGAGGCTTTCACACCAAGCAACTGAAGGATCCAGCGGTAGTACATGCCTTCAGAGAGCAGCTCAATGATGGGCTGATAAACTACCCAACAATAAACAACCAAAATCCGAGTGCCGAATGGGGTCCCATCAAAGCTGTCTTCACAAAAACCCACAACAAGACACTTGGCCTGATCAAAAGAATACACCAGGATTGGTTTGATGAAAACGACCCGGAAATTGAAGTACTCATCAATAGTAAACGTGCTGCTCTCACTGACTGACTCTTGCCAACGCTGATACCTTCCACGAGGAGAAAGCAGCAGTCCCAGGCTAACTTCACAAACTAATGCCAAAATACTATAGGGCCCAACTACTCATGGAGTGGGGCCCCCCTCCGCCCATCCGACGATAATTCCCTAATTTAAGGCAAAGAAGTCATCTTCCAGCACTAGAAATAGCACTACCATTTGCTACACAGCCAAAACACCGATGTGGTTGTCCTGACTACCCAGCAGGTTCCACAGCACCCAGAGCTGACCCACTCGGCTATCCTCCACCCCGAGAGGAGGTAGCTACTGCCATCAAGCAGATGAAAAATAACAAAGCCACAGGACCTGATGGAATCCCAGCCGAGGTCTATAAAGCAGAAGGACCTCTGCTTACCAGCCGCCTCCACTGTCTCCTGGAGAATATATGGGAAAATGAGGAAATCCCCCAAGCTCTTAAAGACGCCTCCATCGTCATTATTTGTAAGAACAACGGAGACTGTGGCAACTACATTGGGATCTCGCTGCTGTCCGTAGCTGGCAAACTTATAGCCCGAGTTCTTCTAAGCAGACTTCTTCCTGAGGCATCTTAATGTGGCTTTAGACCATCACGTTGCACCACTGACATGATCTTCGCTGCATGCCGGATACAGGAAAAGTGCAAATAACAGCGTTGTGACCTGTACATTGCCTTCATTGACCTTACTAAGGCCTTCGACTCGGTCAACAGGGAAGCCCTCTGGCGGACTCTCAGTCGTTTTGGCTGCCCACCAAAA